CCCCCCCCTTACTGTTCATTGTACATTCGTACTGACTAACTAGTACGGAAACACCTGCGTTTGAGTAATCACATTCGGATGAAGGGACTCCCAGTTAAGTCGAGGTGATAACGATAAACCGTGGGACTCGACAAATTTGGATAGAAGAGATAAGTCATGACACATTCAATGCAATTATCACAGTACTAACAAGAATATTTACTAAAAACAGAAATTTTGTAAAATGTCTGAAACCTTTGCGATTATACTTCAGGACGAAGGAGTGAATTTGAAAAAAAAGTACTCACCCAATCGGCACATCCCATTACACCAATTCGATGGTCAGCGCCCACTGTAGATGTTCGTGGATATATTGAAAATTAGCATTTATAGGTAGGACAGTTTTTGACAGTGATCTACTACAGCGGCTGTTGGTATTATTGTAGTTATGTATCGGCTATCGATACAGTTGATAACTATTTTATTCGCGATTGGTACCTTTATCGAAGAACCATTAAATGGGAATTATTTTAAGCGGAATGAGAGTTATCGGCTGGGGCTGAGAGTGTTGAGTAATTTTGTCCGATTTTGATGAATGAAGAGGAGATGGCGTTGATTAAATTTGACTTCAGCTGGATTTTTGGGGATTAAGGAGGTGCAAAGGGGTATTTTGCAGTACATTGTTGAGAGCTAAAGTAATTATTCACCCTTTCAATATCAATATTTCCAATTAACCTCTGGTTGATGTTCAAAGGACAGCTCTGAGGGAGATGCCGCACGCACAAATCCAATGCTGTCCGCGCGATCATTCGACGAGTAATGTAATAAACCAACCCCCCTTCCCCCGCAAAACTTAATTAAATCAGCGTGAATGCGGCCGACTCCCTTTTGGAATATTCTCCCCCCCATTTCAGTTTTAAATTGAAATAGGATCGATAGCGATGCCTTGGATGAAAGCAACCCTAGACGCTTGGAATGTCTTTCCCTATTATCAGCGATGGCTGAAATAACAGAGTTGATGCTTAACTTTGATGAAATTTTCAATCAAAGCCGTATTTGAATAATTTAAATTGCAAATCCGGAAAAATTAGTATAAACGAGTAATACACAAACCTAATTATACAGCTGCCTTGGACTTCTTAATTGTCACTGAAAATATGTCAAGATTTTGCATAAAGTGAGAAATACGTCCTCGACTTTCCAAATTATCTTTGATAAAAATTGTGGAATTAATTGCGAGAAGTAAGACTGAAAAAAGGCAATTCGAATATTGCCGTAACCGAGGCAAATGCCCGATAGGAAATCCCACGTATTAGCATTTTTATTAATTCAAATGAGGCGGGAAGAGAACAAAGAAACTTTCTCCGTTTCGTGGATGCCATTTAGGGGGAAACGGTACTTCAGCGCATTTTTATCATTGGAATTCTTTTCAGCAGCTGTATATGAACATTACAGCTCTATTATCGCCGCCAATTATCGAATATCTCCCAGTAATCTCGTTATTCATTTGGCAATGAGTGTACATAACTGCTCCAAAAAATTTTGCTGTAGAACTGAAATAATTCATCATTCAATAACATAACTGGGGGGGAATAAAAAATAAAATGATTGAAGATGAAATAAAAAGCAGAATAATTAAAAGGACGCAATGAGTTTTACTATTTTTCTTTATTTTAAAAAATCACGAGGAACTAAATCTTGACACTTGAAATATCAAATAAATACAAGACTGACCCTGCTCACAAAGGTTTCGAAAAGTATCGCCACCCAAAAGACAGGGTTCTCTGCTTTTTCATCGACTAGACTCAGCGTTCATATTTATGACGCCCTTTCGAAGAGCTTTCCGCGTGAATTCGATTTAGCATCCATAATATCACAAATGAATTTCTCAGGAAGAGAGATCTAAATAATATATTCAATAATCCAATAAAAACTGAGTCGAACTCAATCGGGTAAAAAAAAGCTGGAGGGTGATGACCGGATGATATTCTGATCTTTGTGGGGTTCATATACCAACCGCGTCGCCGTCGTGAACCCTGGGTAATGCTATAAGTGCTGGTAGAGTTTGTACTACATTATCACACGTTCTATCGAATATTGTTACAAATTTGGGTGAAATAAAAAGGGAAGAGCTCCAAGCGATGAAGAGTTTATTGAAATAAACTGGAGTGAAAGAAATAATAATAAGACTGACATACGCACGAACAAGTACAGAAAAAATAAAGACGCGACAATATATTTCAATGAATGAAATGAATTTATATGAATTATAAAAATCATATACCTGCAGAGGGAAAGGAAAAGGAAGAGATGAATGTAGAATAGAAATTACGCTACTTTTATAATAAAACTAAATTATAATATAACTAAATTACTAAATTAAAACTATACTAAATTTATGTCTCAGAGGGAACAATTCGTTCAGAGATTCATTCAGAATTCATTTCCTACAAGATAAGTGCAAAACATTAATGAGCGTTTCCGTCAGTTTTTGGGAAAAGGTTGGAGGTGTTATCATAACTAACTGGCATTCGTTTGTTCTATTACTTCTGATTAAATTTAAAGAATAAGTTATCAACAGTGTTCTCCAGACTTTTATTAATTCTCCGGAAAGCAGTTGGAATTGCGAGAAATTGAGTCGAATGGTATGATTTGCATTTACTGAAACAATGAGTGATTAAATTGATGATAAAGTTGCAGAAGCTTTTTTTGAGGTAGAGGACACATACAGAAGATTGAAAAATTCAATGAACTACTTTAGATTGAATGGCAAAATTCAGTTCTCTTATCCTATGAAAGAGCAATAACTGAACGGTGTGAAACACAACGGAGTGAAGAGAGTTGTCACCTAACAAGGCGAAGTAAAGACATTCGCACCGTCAGATATTAAATTGTCCGTAGTCCCTGGAGCCCTTTGTCCTCCAGTCTCGCAGCTACAAGACGACAGATGTCTGTAATACATATTCATACAAAAGACGCAGCCTCGTCCTCCCGTCGCACTCGGATTTCCGCAATTCCTTTGTTATTAGGTGAAATCGCAGGTCGTTGTTGTTATTAAACCACTCCACGTACACTCCAAAAAATAAAAGCTTACTTTGTGATTTATCACCTTAGTTTTAGGATTTCAAAAGTCGTGCGTTGAGACTTCCATAAGTCCTAATTTGAGGGTGTCATAGCAGACTGAAGACTTTCCGACTGAACTTGAATTTTATGTCAAACCCCTCAGGGTTAAGAACTTGAGAATGAGGAAAAATTTCAAATTGAGTCCTAAATATCTTAATAATCTCTCAATTAACACTTCACTTTGCTTCCTATGATTAAATGAAGACTTTGCATAAGACAAAGTTTTAGAACTTGAAATTTTTATTTTGAGACATTAAACCACAGGTCTCTAATAACGTGAGGTCTGAAAAAATTTGAGAAAATCTCAGAATCGAAGGATTCCAAAGCTTTCATTCGGAAGCAAAAAAACTAACAACGAATCGAAACTTGTGAAGGTCTTAAATTAAAACCTTTGAAGTTCTAAAATAATTACAGAAAAAAAAAACATTTTTTAATATGTTCGAAAATTTGCGAATAATTTTGGACGATGGAGGAGTGAACCCCCACGAAAACGTCACGCTCTCAGCCCCAGTGTCTAACAATCTAGAGAGAAACTTTGCGGCGCTTTCGAGCACTTGCTTGTGTTTGAACAGCGCGTACATCCAACAGTTGTCAAACGCTCGAGACTGGGTTATACGAGTTCTCGCATCACTCTCACTCTCTGGAAAAGTTTGATCAAACGGCCCCAGCCTTGAGCAAACAGCCGACTAATGAATTACTAACTTTGATACTCATTTCTCCGTTATCTCCCTCGGTCTCCTCTTTCATGATTTATCAACCGAGGGAAGGAAACACACATGGCCAAAGGAAAGAAATCATTTCCGCTCGAATTATCCAGCAGCTCATTCCAAAATTCCCGAATCTCTCTTTAAAAATGTACATTTTTTTCCGTATTTCATCGAAAATATTTGAATTTATTCATTTTCACTTTTCAATATATTATTCTATCATAAACCAATCATTTGAATCCCGAAAAATGAATCCCTGAAATTTCCTCAAGAAAAGTCTTAATTAGAAAACTTGGGTTCGATTCCCCATGAAATTCAATCATCTTTATTTTTCTCAAATTCTTATTCAATATATTTTTTCGGCAGGGGGGGGGGGGTGAATTCCCCAGATCTCCCTCCACCGGGGCTTCGCCCCTCGACCCCACGGGGGCCCCGTCCCCCTGGACCCCCCCATTTTGCAAAGCTTAAGCACAAAAAGACAGGAGAGAAACGGGGATGAATGACCGGAGGGATATTTTTTCCGGGGATATTTATTCCGGGATTTTTTTTTCGGGATATTTTTTCCGGGAATATTCTTTTCGCCACCCATTTTTCCTAGTGTACACATAGTATAGCATTATTACTTAAGAACGGTTTGCAGATTCTTAATAGATATAAATTGATAGGAAAAAACATATTATAAAAACTACTCGGGACTTTATCATCGATTTATTGATGGTAAAAAAATATTTCATTTTTTCCTTGAAACTGCCTGTGTGGGCATATCTTAAAAAATCATTGAGATAGAAACTATTAAATTTAGTATACCTTCAAGTCTTTTGATAACAAAGTTTTGAATTGAGACACTCCGAAATCGGACCAGGGGTTTCGGCAATATTCCACTTGTTATATAAAACTTTTTTCTACAATCCATCAATAAATAAATGATCCGTGTCCGTAACGGTTCCTTTCCTTCGGTTTTTCGCATCATTCTCTGGGTTTCGTATTGAGATAATGCATGTATGCTCAATTGCGAGCACATTAAATAAATGTCAAAAGGATACGCCAGTTATGTGAAATGCCCAAATATTTCATTGTCATGTACAACCTCATCGAATATATGATCTAAAATGGCAAAGAAGAGATAAAAATGATGACAAAAATCTCTAATATTTTATCAACATTAAACTGTTTAGATTCAATTACATGCAAAATAGTTTGCGCCAAAAGGGCGCGCCCGACTACAGTCTCTCTCGAAAAATACCGATTCGATGGAATTTTTTTTTTCTTCAAAATGTTGTGAAAAAAAATATAATAAATCTAAATAAAATATCGTAAATATAATAAGCACCCCGCCCCCTCCCCTTTCCTCCCCCACACACACTTTTCATACTTCTATTTTTTGCACAAAATTCACTTTTGCCAATAAGCATATTATCAATAAAAAAAACAAAATATCTGAAGAGATATTCTCGGAATCGTATGTCAAGTGTCAGATAGCTAGTCACACTGCTCATGTTAATGAATAATCTAAAGATAATTGATAATTTTTACAAATTTTTTGCACTGCAATGAATTTCAATTTAAGTCCAAAATCACAGACTTTAATGAGAGAACTAAAAATAGTTTCCTAGGATTGAGAGAGTTTTTCTCGCAGGAAGAACATTTTCCTCTGCGGAAAATTCCTCTGCAATTCTGACAAACTTAATTACTTATTACACTGTCTGAGAAACAGACACGATAATCTCCCTACACCCAAGAACAATCTGAATAATTCTCAACGATAATTTCATTCTCACAACTGAGATAGTTTTTCGCGTTAATACCTGCCCTCAACAGAGTGTGAAAATTTTCATTGATCGTCCACAGATTGCCTTGCAAATCGGCGTTAAACTGGCGGCGCCTCAGTGTTGGAATCGCAGTGTTGCCTCCACGTTACTTCCCCAATATTCAAAAAAATGTGTGACAAACAGATTTGAGGTGAGTGAAATTCGTCCTACGATTCAGAAGAATCGACAACAAAATGGCAACAGCCCCTTATGAAATTAAGAATGAAAAACCAGTATCATAACCCGTTGCACCACAGATCCCAATCTCAAAATTTATTGCTTTATCCGCTCATTTATTTATTTGTGGATTTATTGATTGGTCGGTAGTCATCGAGATTGTAGATTCTCCCGATTAATCCCGGGTTCTCAATGTATTTGTCTCACGTTATCGAAATTCACTGTAGCGTTGATAAATTTTGGTGCAACAGCCGGTTGCTAGGTGGTGTTTGCCCTTCCGAGGGCCGCACCCTCTAATCCACAATGGCCTTAACGCCCCGTTGGATACGTGTTGCTGTACTAGAATCATCCCCCATTGCCACCCACCAAATATAATTGACGAATTCGATATCTCAACCGCTGTTTGTTTTTGTTGAAGCGTTCGGGAATTGCGTCGACGGTAGTTATTGTCCCCGCGGATTGTTCTCGGGTCAATATTACATTTCAATCAGTTCAGTTTGTGTTGCGATGAATTCAGAATGAGGCGATTTTTTCCCCTCCGGAGATGAGGGATAAGTCCGCTAATGCATCCTCGTAAATTGATCCGTCATCCAACGATAGACGCCAGAGAAGTTCAGACGTGAAATCATTATCGATAATGGCTTGGGTATTAACTCCAAGTTATGGTCCTTTGTTCGTCGGAAAATTTCGGGGCGTAACCGGGCAGAAGAGCACCGGGAATTATGCTGATACGGAAACGAGGGAGAAAATGTGAGCTCCTTGAGCCGATGGATAGCGATAAAAATAGGAGAGAAAAAAATATTCTCGAGAGTTTAATGTGTCGGGATTGTCCGTACCGCTGTCTCACTTCTTCAATCGACAATTTGCTCTGTCTCCGGGTCTTTATTGACTTCTCCCTTCATCGGATATCAATCAAAACGCCATTGACACGCCTGCCATACCCTCTCGGCAAATAATCGACGAAATCTCGTACACTTGTGAATTTTTCCATCTCTTCTCCACATTTTCTCCACATTTTCTCTCTCTCTCTCTCTCTCTCTCTCTCTCTCTCTCTCTCTCTCCATATCAGGTTAATGGCGAAGCGATAAAATATATGGGAATCTAGGTCTAATATCGAAAGTTTTGTCATTACCTTTTTTGTACGGCTAATCAGAAGACACAAAATGGTGATCCACTATATAACGATCCGTGACCATAACACTGATACTTTTGCAGGTTATTACGCTAATTCCGTTCTCCCTGTTTGGAGGACTATATAATTAAATGACTCAATATAATAAAATAAGCTCCGAATCGACACTTAATTCATCCAAATTTGACCATTTTGATTGGGTTCCGAGAGTCTTCGACAAAAATGGAATTTTTATGGTTCACTTGAAAAATTATCTTTGGTTGGAATGTTTTCCACTTCAATGTGGACGTAATATTTATTTTCTCGGTAATGGTGGTTAGGTTTTCTTAAAATGGTGTATGGATGAGATGATATGGATATTAGAGACTGTTTCTGTTTGGAAGGTTATGTCACCCCCTAAAATTAGGATTTTTCTTTCATTTGCAAATCTTCAGGTTTAATTCATGTTCCTTTATTATACGCCATTTCGAACCTCGCAATTACGACTGATTTTTTTTTCATTCCATCAATTTGATGACTTTTTATAGATTTTTTATTTTGATTGTTTCTTATATTCCGGCCCTTTGTGCCTCTCCTTTTAGCTAATGGGCCTTATTTCATCTTATGCATGCGGCTGTGGATCCTACACTGTACCTTATTTACTCTTCTATAGAACATAGGAGTGACGTGGGAAACCACAGGAAAAACTATGTCGGTACAGGCGGTTGCTCTATTAGCAACCTCCCGCTCATCAGTGCCTTGTAGGTGATTTAGTGTCGATTTTGGAATGTCACAAATGCAGAATGTGTGGTTAATGTCGCTTCCTCACAAGAATAGGTTCCAGATTCGATTCCTGGCCATATAAAATGGTGACATCTAACCAATTAAAGTCTTGATCATCATCGCTATGTACTGTAACAGAGTCGAAGCGCGGTGCAATAACCAGCAAAAAAAATGCAGTGTCTCAATTTTTTTCTTTAAAATGTTTCGTCGTCAAATTACGATTTTCGCCTTGATTATCAATAAATTATAATTGAAAATCTGATACCGGTTGTGGAGCTAAATTTATAGTCGCTGTCAATTATCTTCAAGATGTGATTATTTTTGTACTTTTGACTTATTAGAGGATAATTTTATTGTTCTCATTACTCTGCGGTCTCACAATCTGATAGAATTTCTTTTTCGTATGTAAACGGGAGATCAACATTTCTATCGAATTGAATCGAAACTCTCGAAAGTTGAACCCTAAAATCTGTCCCACTCATTCCTCACTATTGATTCATTGGTCACGACGTCTTATACTCATTTCCACTCATACTTCATCTTTCACTTGCGCGCATGTACTGTGCTGAACACAAAATTTTCTTTCATTGGTGTGTATTTTACACAATTTCTCACAGATCCGACAACACTTAAGTTGTAGTTTCCCCACCAAAATTCTGGAAAAATAGAAAACTTTAGCGATGGCTCAATCTATAATATTAAATTTTACTGGGGTCGACGATTTTTTTTTTCTTGTCGACCCTTTTTTCTCGCATAAAACTCACAAAAAATGATCGGGTGGGACGAAAAACTCGTGAATGGTAAAATCTCTCTCTCGACGTGACATTTCGCCGAGCGATGGAGCGATAATATGACGGATTCAGCCGTCAGGCGAGAAAATAAAATGATGGAGGATGAGTGTCTGAGGTGATTCAACCTCGTCAGCAGATATCGCTAAAGTGTTCACCCAAGAAAACCAAGAGATCGTGCCTCATAAGAATAGAATCAAATCGTGGTATAACGCAACTGTTGGAGATAATATCTGAATATTGAAGGCAGTGAGGGAGGTCTGTCGTCCCTCGTAAACCAGTGCGATATGAATGGGTATTGCTCAATTTTACTCACAAGACAGTTTTGGAAAAATCCACTGTTTACCAATGTGCTTTATACGTCCGACCGTACTAGGTATGCATCACTTTATTCCACCTCCACCGTCTTTATTTATACCTCTCACTCGTTTTTTCGGTTTATACTCGGCTGCGTCCGAGAATTATTATTATTTACGTTGTGTACGTCAGGAAGACGCAGGTGGATATCCCTGTAAGGGATGATATTAAAGGAGCTTTCCTGCTTTGCTTTCCTTTTTCTAATATTCTCTTTGCGCTCACGATTTCGAGTGAACGACTTCGTGAAGAGAAACGTGACGATAAAGAAAGAATTACGAGCACAACTCCGGAGACACTGAGACATTTTTTGTCTTCTCTCGTTTCTTTTTTTCGTGGCCATCATCCTTCTTTCCGGAATCCTTAGGTTTCTGGGGAATTGCTTATTTCGGAGTGAAGTTCAACTCAATTTGTCTGGAGTGTATTTCATATTTCAGGGAATTGCCAAGAATAATTTGCCAACAACGAGTTTTGTGAATAATTCGTTATCCTTTTCAGGTGATTATCATTCACATGAATAAATGAGGCGATAAGCTAGTAACAATGGCGTCTGATGACAGCAGCGAGGGCCCGACCTCGTGTGCCGATGACATATCCGAGGACATAAATGTGCTGCCGTGTCTCGATGACATCGCGGATAAAATTGCGCCGAGGGAGGAGGAGAATCAAGAAGAGTTCAGAAAGCTTCTGCTGTCGATGCTTGATTCATCATTCGACTCCGACGACGAGAGAAACAAAGAGGATGTGATTGAGCGACTAGAGAATCCACCCGACACTGAAAAACCCGTCGAAGGTACGACATCTGTTTTCCATTACGGCTTTTACACTTTTTCTTTTTTTTTCAAAGAGAAAAAGCTCGGCCCGGAGGTGCGTCACTGATTCAAGTTAACGCTTGAAATATTTTTTGGGCAACAAAAAATGGCGGAAGATAGGAGTTTTGTTTTTTTTTTAAAAGGCCCCCCGGGCACTTGCTTCTCTTGGCAGATTTATTGAAACGAAAACCACAGACCAACGCTGCCCCTCAATTATCGGAATTATTCTCCCACTAACACCAACATTTTAACAATACCTCACCCCCTCCTCGGGATGCATGAACTTCTGCCAGGAAAAATGAAATTCTCAGTTGGAAAAATTCGATTTTTATCGGGGAATTCATTAAAGCGTCATTGAATCATGCATTCCAGCAATTAGTTTTGCTTTAATTGGTCTCACCGAGCACTCACATTGATTTTCATTAATGAAATTAACTGATGATTGAGTTCGGGGTTCAATTCAGTAGGAACAGACACAAATAATTTAAATAATCATCCGATAAATGATTGTTTTTCTTGTAGGGCTGATATATTTGGAGATCAATCATTTAAAAAATAATGGTATTTGATATTTCCAAAGTATTAAGAACTTTAGGAGGAGAAATTGCCTCTGTTAAAAGACTACATGCTCAGCCATAGCTGGACAATATTTTTTGCACTCAAAATTGAGTAGCGAAGTGATAAGCATAAGTACATTTTTCTCGAGGCAAGTCTTTGGCCAATATCTCGGAATCTGCTCACCTCATCCATCCACCTGCCATCACTGACTAAACCCGATCTTTTGTCGAAATCCTGAGAGAATACGAATAGGTTTTTCATCAGAGAATTTAATATTATTATTTATTATTTATTATTTCAATGATTATTGTGTTCGACAAAATTGTTTTCGAGAAGTGAAAGTGAAAGTTTAATTATTTCTGCTCGAAAATTTACCAAATATTATGTTAAAAAACGATGGATTCGACTGAAAATCAAAATTTTTCCACTCAAGTGAAAATTTTAGATGAAAGAAAATTTTTTTATTGACTCATCTTCATTTTGCGTGAGTCAGTAATGCAACTGTCTAATCTCTGTTGATACTTGCCTCATTATTGACTATATAATCAAATTATTTTTAACCGATTCCATTTCCATTGTTTAGTACTGAACAGGGAATTAAGTCGAGACGTCAGCCAACTATAGAATTAATTTCAGAACATCAAATATTTAATGCAAGGAACATCTCAACGACTTTTCCAAAACTTTTTGTCTTTTAGCGGAATGAAGTTCTTCTTGGCTTCACTATGGATATTTAAAAAAAAAATATTTCGATATTTTTGGACAGAATGAATATGTTTTGGGTAAAGAAAAACTGTTCTCTGAGTGTAATTTTTCGATGGATCTGATTTTTTTGTGAAAAATTGATAAGGATCAAATGTTGATCCCGAGAAAATGTCTCCAAGGCTTCTTTATCGCATATTGACATACGCAGAAGCCACAGTCGTAATAATCAAGGGCCTGAGGTTGATTAGTTACTCGCCTGAGGAAAATATATTCCACCCCTGTGTACAGAATACAGGGAGAACGTCGAGTCACATGATCTCGGATGGCTGCCCATCGTGAGATTAGCTTTTCCAGGAAGAATGAGCTCAGGCCATTCTCACCGAGATCAGCAGTATCCTGTCAACGTGTTCATACAACCGAGAAAAACTAATTCTCCCCTCGGTGGCTCGCCGATATCGGGAATTAAGTTTATTGACCGAACGAAAAATTATTGTCCCGAGATGAAGGCACTCATCAGAACAACCCGAGCACATCTTCGCGATGCGTTTAATTGAACATTAATTTTGCGCATCTGAGATACTAATTGGACAGCCAAGTTTTCCGGTAAAGTACAGGGAGCGAATGAAGTGAAAAGTCCCCTCCAGATGTTTCCGAAACCTTAAAGTTTGCCGCAGTTGTGCTATTTTAACGACTATCCAGGGGAAAATTTTATGGCGAACCGAACATGAGAAAATTCTTGAAGATAGTTCAAGGAAGGAGGAAAATACTCTCAGCTGCTGACAGACTAAAGATTCAAAAATTCGCTCGGTAACAGTGCAATAATTTTGTGCACAATTTGTCTTAATTCCTATGGAATTCTATTTTATTTTTCTGGAAAATTCAGGAGAAATGGATAAAGACGTAATTTGATAAGTATTTTTACCCTATGAAATCACAAAATAGTCAGCAATTAAATGAAAGGATGAAATGTAGAAACGTTTTGTCCCAAAAGGAGAGGAAGAGTTATGGAAATTTCGGGGAATTTTATCCAGTGCAATTTTACTCACTGACTACCAATGGAATTTATAAACCGTAAGATGCTAGCATCTTGGCAAATCGAATTGTCTGGTTGTCATCCTGGCGGGGACACAGGGATGGTCGCAATATCCCGAACCGCATGTGCACATTCTCCCATGTACTACGTCTTCCTTCGGTCTGTATAAGACATCTATACCGATTTCCCCTCGTAACAACTTCCTGGGGAACGGCAATATGCGATTTAAGATTATCATAATGCTGCTGGAATAACACGATCAAACGGAATTTATGGACGAATCTACTGGGAAGATAAGTCTGTTGACTCAGTTTTTGTCAATCTACGGCTCACCGAGCAGAGAAGAAATTATTTAATTGATTGCGTTTTATTTCTTTAATTTTCATAAAAATCTAGCATGTGAAAACATTCGAGAAAAAATAAAAGTTGTGATATTTTTCGTCTTCGGGGAGTTTTATTATCATTTGAAAGGTCAAACAGTCGGTTAATAAAAAAAATAATATTTAAAAAAAAGCTGCCTTCCCCCCACAAACATCCGGACCCTTTAACTTGGAATAAAATTTTTCTTTCCACTCTCGTAATTCCTCTCACGTTAATAATGTTATTATCAATTAGAAGATCATAATTTGGGGAATCAATAGTCGATTCATTAAAAAGTCCAATAAAAAAAAATCACTTTCCTTTAAAAAAAATCCTAGATCAGATCCTGCGAATTACACTGCTAGAAAAATTGAATCTCAATGTTTTTCTGAACTCTAAGGATTCTATCATTATCCGCTAGATAAATATGTTTGAAAGTTAGTATAAGTTAATATAAAATCAAGATTTTGAATAAAATTTATTTTCCGCCCCAAAATGCCTAGCACAACTTCCAGTGGTCGTATGTCCATGAGTTTTTTTTCAATAATTCAATTTTCAATAATCTGAACTAAAAATTCAAAACATAGGACGCAGTTAATTTTCTATCCACTGGTGATCGCCTCATTGCCATTTTCTACTCAGTAACACGTGATATGAGAAATCGTGACTAGCTGGGAATTTTGACCGCACGTCCAGGAGTAACCGAGGAGAAAATTGGAAATGGTCTCGTCGAGACGTGCACCCAGACTACCCGCGTGACACGGGACAAACGAGGGTGGAACAGAGAGAAAGTAGAAAAAGGGATGAAGAAGTGGAGGGGGTTAAAGACACCCCCAACTTGTGGAGGATGGGTTTTGTGGGCTGCACAGCTTCAGCCGAGAAGAAAGGATTTTTGAAGGGAGACAGAGCCAAGGTGAAAAATGACATGAAGTTCAAAAGCCCCTAAATAAGAAATCACTCCCGAACCGGGCAGCATTATTCATTCCCAGCTCAGACTCTAAAGTGAAAATACTTGAATCGACGGCTGAGAATAAAAACACGAGACTTGCCTAGTCATCAATTTCCATCGTTTCTTCATTTCTCCAGTAAATTTTTCTTCTTTGGCTTTCAAATATTTCGCTTGATCAAACCGTACGTTACAACATAAAGAGGAAAAGTTTCTTCATATTAAAAAACTCGCTAAACTTACGATTAAATGCTTTCGAGAATCAAGGCTTTTGGGCAAAAAAAGTTTTGCCCAAATTTTATTGTGATAGAAAATTTAAAATATAAGGAAACATTTTTTATGGTATAAACTTGAACAGGTGTAGCCTACGTCGCACATAGTTAGGAAAATTTTGTAAAGGGATTTTATGTTGTATACTGGAGATTTACCACTTGATCTGTTTTAATAAGACACATTGCACAAGTCAATGCCGGCGAACGATGCCTAAAATAGTAATGCCAACTGGCGTCATGTAGAGAGTACGTTGAGCCATGCTCAATTCGTTAATTATTAACGAATGATGGTTTGTCTGACCTACGTCGCTTTCTACTTCAACTGGTATTCGCATTTCCACCGAATGTGCGACATTTATAAAAACATTTACTATATTTGATCGCAAGCAACATTTGATTTATGAGAAAAAATCAATTATTCAAGAAGGCCATCGCGAAAATGTAAGGAAGGTTAATTATATAGGGTATTATATGAGTATTAGTAACAATGAAAAATTGGATACACTGAGAGAAATATTCAATAAAAATTACGTGTATTTTCCGTAATTCTGGAGCGAAATGTGGTTGTCGGAAATTTTACGGAACTGTCACGTAATTTTTATGTAAAGTCACGGAATTTTTCTGCGGTGTTCTGTAATTTTTATCTGAATTATCGGTGAAAAATAACGATACCGTCACTTAAATTTTTCGAATCAACTCCGTAATCGGTAAGTGAACTGAAAGTTCCGTAATTTTTACTAAATATTTCTCTCCGTGTACTTACATCAAACGAATCCGTCGAAAGAGTCAAGGAAATATATTTATTAATAAATTAATCGTTCTGTCAGTGTAACGAATGGACCCTCGCACTTGACAAAAAGTTTTTTTTTCACTTGTATCGGAATATACTATTGCTCTCAGTAATATTCCGTTCTAAGCAAATGCTATTCAAGTTAAATCAGAACTAACAACCTCCTACCAATATACACTACCTAGAAATCCCTGGAGAATGAGTCTTCCACTTCGCTATAAATTCCGAAAAGCCACAGATAATCCTTATCTGTAAGACCAGAAACCATAGTGGCAGGGATGTTTTTGTCCAAACCTAAATACACTCAGTCCCCGGGAGTCAGCGCGAGTCGACATTATTAGCCAGTTTTCCAAGCGCCGGTGCACTCTCAATTTACGAGATTTCCACAAAAAAAAGAATAAGTCAAGGGCAGGAGGAAAAAACCGAACAAAGAAAGTAGATGAAAAACCTGGCAGAGGAGTAACACCGGGGAGTTTGTTGTGATAACGACAGCAGGCCAAAGTAATTCAATATACCGTAGCTCTGAGAGCGTCCGTCCTCTCTGTAATTCTCTCTAATTCGGGGGAAGCCGTCTCCCAGCAAAATGAAAAGTACTCTCTTATTCTCGTCTTTGTACTCACTGCGGGGGAGAAATAGGGCTTAAAAGGAGAAAATATCGTGCCCCAATGAACACGAGGCTTTAGCCAAGAACATGCGCCATATCTGCGGATCCAGCGTCAAATATTGACCGCATGATAGGTACACGACGTTATCAAAATATTATTTACCGCGCGTTGAAAGATTAAGGATTCTATCGAGATCGTGTTCCAGGGGTTCAACCCCTGGGATTCACATTTCTTTTGTTACGGGATTTGACCCCAGCCATTTCCACCGAAGGGCAGAAGAGGCAATGGGACAATTTGCTTACAACCATTCGAGTCAGAGGAATAGATTCATAATTCTGTGAGTGAAACATTCAAGACTCACCGGTCGTGAGGAAAAAATCAGCTTAAATTTTCAAGACACTGTTATTCCCAAGTTGTCATGACTTATTCCAACGACAGTGGATTGACTACTGCTCGACTCTCAGAGCAAACTATTCTTTTTCGTTGTCTCCTACCATCGATTCTTCAACTACATCATCGTGAAATATTCTGTAAATCTAACGTGACGTAAATAGGGACTTGCAGTTCCATGAGAAGACAGGCACAGGGTGACATTCTAGAAACTCGTTATTGTATCGCTTCTCCATGGCTTTCCCCTGCATCAGAGATAATCTGCAAAAGCACAATCACTTAACGAAAAGTTGAGGCGATTGATGTACATATTTTCAATTACTGATTTTTTAAATGCTGATAAGGACGTTATTAAACTCGATATCATACACAAGAGTTTGGGAGACGGTGCCTGCCACTGGGCTCGAGTAAATCGCGTGCAACGTCAGGTTATTCCGTGACAATAGGGTCGACAGGCGACCTTACCCCAAAGACATCAACGATTTTCGTTGGGAAACAAGCAGTTATGTTTCAGCAATTGTGCCTGGATGATGGAATATTCAACCAATGTCCCTCCTTTTAAGAGTATTTCTTTGTGATTCTTGAGGTGAAGAGGTGATGGCGGGTCCAGAGTCTCCAACTGATCATCGGCTGGAGTATCTAGGCCTCTGTGTACAGAAATCATTGAAATTGAAGCCAGAAAAATGGGGGAGACTGCTGCTTACGGAGGAGTACAGGAATGCAGTACTGGATTTCTTGGATAATTCGTATCCAGCTGCGATATTCGTTGTACTTACACCGAATGCTCAGCTTGTCGCCTCTTGCAGTTTTCCCATTCCGTGTCAAAGGACAAAAGGTGAGTGTTAAGTTTTTATTCCCAATGGTAGCTTAGTAATCGGTCGATTTACACTTTCGATTCTGATTTTGCTGAAAAATTATGTAGAACGAACTGAAACATAAAAAAATATACATTTCAAGCACCATGTCTGTACGTGTCAATATCCAGTCAGCCGTATATTTTTTTTATTAACAAATTAACGAGAAAATACGTCCCGACAAATCGGAAATTTCGTCAGTTGATTGGAATAACTTAAAACTAACTCTGGGCGCCAGGTCAACCGTATTGGCTTAGTAGTTATTTAAAGAAACAATTTATTTGTTTACACTTTTTCGGGAATATCTCGAGAATTACTCGACCGATTAACTTTTTCTTAATAATGTTTTCCTCAATGCATTCTATTTTAAACAACCATAACATGTATAGCGGTTTATCCAAAGTTTTCGAGATATTGTAGTTTTTTGGGTTGAAATCGTTTCCTCTTTATGAAAAATCGGTATTTTTTGCGGCATATCGATCTCTTATAATGACACCAGCTGCTATTGAATCAAAGCTCAATCGGACAGATTGTTTAAGAGATATTCAAGTTTATACGTACACCTTTGTTCTTTAATATATTAACAACGGCCTGTTTTTTTTCTATTTCGTTGTACCAAGGAACGTATGCTGTGAAAACGAGAATGACGCCAGTTCCAAAAGATGTGGAGAGTTGTGCGGCAATGCTGATAGTGGGTGATTTTTCAAATAGGGTTGTCGACGAACTCGCAACTTTAGTTGATAACATCTACGCGCCGCTATTGAGCAAACATGAGAATCACAAAGATTTACCGGAGGTTGCTGTGCAAGACATCTGCAGGCACGTGCACTCAATTCGGGGCACACTGTATCAGGTGAAATCTTCACGATAGAAATTATCAGATCATGTTAGTTGGCACGAAGAGAGAAGATTAATAGAAAAATCTCGCGCTCCATCGATTTTAATGGACTATGACGTCTTATCAGAACATTGTTTAATAATTCTATTCATTTTTACTGCTATTATATTGCATATTATGCAGTTTTTTATTCGATTGAAAAAACTCAAAAAATTTTTATTTTTTTATAGAAGTTATCGATAGCGCGATGGCTCTTGTCGCATCATTTTCAACGGATTGACGCACTAATAGAACGTTATTGTGGCAATAGCTAAACTTTTAAAAGTTTCGTTTAATTTCTGCAACGATCTCATCTGAATTTTTAATTATCCAAGTTTCAGCTCAATTTCAATTAAAAATGGTCAATAAATTTTTCATTTATCTTGAAAATTGATTTTTTCATGCTAGATGATGGTTGATTTTTCATTGAAAGCTTGAGTTTTCGTGGCCAAAAACGATAATTTAATATCAAATACAGTTGAATTTCCAATAGAGCGGAAATTCAGAGGAATTGTTGCTTGCATTTTCAACATTTTTACGGTTTTTAAGTGGTATAGTTACTTGAAAATCGAGAAGTACCAGAATATTCAATAAATGTTTTTTCACTTTGAAATTTCTAGTCTAATTTCCCAATATCGAGATACGCGGTAGTGTATCGGTTGTATTATACGTGGAGAGGAATATTTTAAAAAATTAACGGATCACTTCACATAATCTGCAAGCACGAATAGTTTTCAGGGAATTTTTATATAGAAATATAAGAGAGAAATCTGATACGTTCAGTCAATTTTTGTGCCTGTCACTAAACGAATGCAAGAAAGTAATGTAATTTTTCTGGAAACTCTAGACTCTAACAGGAATTTTACGAATCATAATCTTCAACAATTTTTCCATAACTTCTCGTCAATTTTTCGTGGTTTTGTGGGTTATTTTTATTGGGCTTTTCTCTCGGGGTTCCTTCTCCAAATTCCTTCTAAAAACTGAGGGACATGTTATTTTTTTCCACTTATCTAATAAGAAATTACTCATATCGTATCGAAATCGAGTTGCTTTAAGTGAATTGATCCTTTCGGCACATAAATTTCAGAAATTTTATGCTAGGGTATAGGTATAACCTTCTTTCTCCCTTCCCCGCAAAAGGTATATGATTTTTATAAGTCATATAAATTCAAAATATTCAATTCAGCGTGTAGTAAGGTACCATACAAATCTTACCAGCACTTAGCATTACCCAGGGTTCCCGATAAGGACGTGCCCTTTATGAACCCCACAAAGATCATAGTATAATTCTGTCACCCCCTTCCAGTTTTTTAATCTAATTGAGTCCGACTCAATTTTATTCTTGATTCCGCATAGTTTTGTTATTAAATAGTGAATTAATTCAGTTTCGCGGAAAATTTTTTGAAGTAGTTATATACACTCAGTGCCATTTTTATTTTGAGTAACAGAACATTGTTTTGATTTTGATTTTGAATTCTGATTATTATTGATCCTGACAGGTGAAAGGGCAGGTTAATGGTAAGACAGTTCTGCCAATGCCGGCGGGGTTGGAAAAAGTGTCAGAGGTGGAAAGGCTGGTAAGAGAAGATGGACCACAAGCAGCTGATCTGTACCTGAAGAGTGCCATCGAAGGGGTTGTTATAAAGTGGGCTTATCTGGTCAACGATGTTGTGACACAAGACTCGAGTGTTGCTTTTGAAAATGGACAGAATCCTACGCCAACATCTGAGCTGGAATTCTGGTCAAAACGACTGACAAATCTGAGGTTCGATACAACTATATTTGAGTTTGAGATGAAACTCTAGTGAGTAATTATGTAAATCTTGATAGATACATCTTCGATCAGCTTCGGGAGGATCGTGTGAGAAAAATGGCGATAATCCTTGAGAAAACAGATAGCGCTTATTATCCGTGTTTTCGCACTCTATTCAGCAACGTCGTGTCTTCCCTTGCTGAAGCCAAAGAGATATCCCTGTACTTGACGCCACTGAGGAGATGCTTCAAAGCCATTGAGGAAATTGACTTTTCCGAGGCTAAGCCTGTTATGGCCACTGTTATCCATTCAGTTGGCTTGGCCTGGGCAAAGTCACGCTATTATCAGAACTCAACAAAGTTGATTATCATGTTTAGACAGATATCCAACCTGTTGATACAACAGGCGAGACGTTTTCTCGATCCTTCGTCCATTTTCCAGAGTGACGTTGATGAAGCACTGCAGCGAGTACAGATATCCAAGGGTAAATATTTTTACGATTATATACTTATTTCTTCAATTTTGCCTCTGAAGTTTATTATGATTTGCCTTTCTTTCTTTATTACATAGTTTGTGCTTTCGAATGGAGACTTTGCAATCGTATGCTTTTCACATTTTCTAATTTTACTCGGAAAGAATCTAGAATGCTCTGAAATATAAAAAAACGAAGCTTGGGTACCGTGCCAGTGTGTGGTCTTCATTCAGTGGTTACTTTTTCTTAAAATTAACAAATAAGCGACAAAATTCGTCTTAAGAAATTCCTCTACTTCGTAAATTGATTTTTACCCTCTACCTCAAACAATCAATACATGTATATAGTCAAAGTTTTCAAGGTATTGTGTTTTTTTTTATTTAACATTAGAAATCGGTGTTCACAGCATAGCGCAAACCTTGATACATGAATTTGAAATTTCAATTCCGAAGTTGTCTCTTGTGATGATACAATGGCGAATGGACGCATATTTTAATTAAGAGATATGTGACTAGATATATGACTTTGTATGTACATCTTATTGCGTCAACATTTCAGTAATTACTTGACCTATTTCAATCATTTTTTCATTCAAAATATTCGCTTTCTTTCCGTTCTTCCTTAGTTCGCCATTAAAAAAAAAACCTTATTTTATTAACTCTAACATGTTGGAGGTGATAATTATTATTGATATGATCAGGCATTCTAGAGGAGTTCAAGCATCAATTTGAAAAAGCGAAACAACAGCCCGGTTTAAAGGAAGATAGTCCACCCTGGACCTTCAATTCGTCTGCCATTTTCACACGTCTCGACGCCTTCTTGAAACGGCTGTCCGACATTGAGTGGCTCTTCAACACTGTAATTGAATTTTCAAAACTGGAAAAAATTGAAATTGGCGGTGTACTGGGTCGTTCACTCAGCGCTAGGATTGTTGGCGTTTTCAAGGAGTTCCAGGCGCTCTTTGCATCGTTCTCAGCGAGAGCCAGTGACGTCCTCGAACCCGACGACGAGTCCTTCGCTGTTGACTGTGCCAAGTTTGGTGAATCAATCACCGATCTTGACAGTAAACTGGCTGCCATACTCTGCCAGGCTTTCGACGACTGTAGCAATTTGGAGAGTGCTTTCAAGGTTCCCTCATCTCTCATTCTCCTTTACTTTCGTTTTATTCGTCTCCCTCTCGGTTAGCTTTAGTACTCCTTTATTTTACCGTCTTCGAACGAAAAAAAAAATAAATAAAAATAGAAATACGAATGAAATATCCTCGGGCTAAAGTTTATGGCCACTATTTTACGATCCCTCCAGCTGATCAATATCGGCGGTACTGTCCTGGATCGACCGATGATTCGTAGGCAATTCATGGACCGTTACTCCCGGATATATCAACTGCTGAATAACGAATTGACAATGGTTGAGATACTGTTCAATCGGGGCACCCGTGGAGCTATGGGTGACCTTCCGCCCCTCGCTGCTGCTCTTCGATATACAAGTATGCTCAGACAGAGAATCGATCTTCCAGTGCATTGTTTCAAGACACTCCAGAAATCGTGAGTATATCAAGTGACTGAACCACTTGACGTCACAGTTCAATCCAATCCGCAAAACAAAGTGCATCAATTTATTGAAAAATCATCACGAATTGTAGAATTGTCGAGAGTAATGAGGGAGAGTGCATCATCGCACGATACGAAAGATTTCTGGAGATGTTAAACGAAAAGGAAAAAACTCTTTTCCTAGAGTGGGTTGATGCAGTCCCTGAAATTGTTGAATTCGGCCTTCAAAGAACTCTGTTAACCCGTGACAGAGGCTCGATCCTCCTGATGGTGAACTTTGATCACGAATTATTGGCTGTATTGAAGGAAGTCAATTACCTGCAGCAGGTGGCACACGACGATATCCCGGAAATGGCTTCTGAAGTTGGTTTCCACTCGTACTGGTGTTACATTACCGCAATAGATAAATCGTAAACAAAAGACTATTTCGTTTCTTTTCAGGTGTCAGAGCAAGCAGAGACGTTCCGAAAATTTCGCACCCTCTTGGGAGCCACTGTGACATCTTACAACGACATCCGACGTACTTCGAGACAAGTGGAATACAATTTAATCGAGTTGGAAGTAGCGAGAATTGATTCACTGATTACACGAGGGGAGAAAGAATTGTGTTGGAAATCAGAGGGACTTCCTGATTACATAAATGAATTAGGGGGACTAGTTCAGAGTCTGTGGAAGAGATTAAAAGCTATTCAAGCGAATGTGGAAAAAATAAGGGGAATTTTGGAGCCGTGGACTAAAACACCTCTTATTGAACGTAAAGATCGCCGTAAAGATGCTCTACTTGCGTTGGACGATAGGGCTGAAAATGTTGCCAAACGATATGCAGATATCCAGAGAGCTGCCGAGCAGATTCATGGGCTTCTAAAGGAGAATGAAGTGTTATTTGAAATCGCCGGAGATGGTGGAGAACCGTGGAGGGAGTATGTAACGTACGTAGATGATATCGTAACGGAATCCCTTCGTAAATCAGTTGGATGCTGTCTCAGTTATTTATCTGAGAATATGGATCCAGCGACACACAATGAACCCGTTCTCGAGGCTAAACTTGAGCTCAGAGAGCCTGATCTCTATTTTGAACCAACATTGGATCCTGATGATCCGGATGGACTGGAGCAATTGATTGTCGGATTATTGGAAGATATTATTCGCATGGCGGCCCTTGTCGAGAGACTCAAACCCGATGCCGAGGGGTACGCAGTGGAGTTCGAACAGGATGATGACATTAAAGCTATGAAAAACGAGATATTGACGGGAGTAACTAGAGCAATTGATGAGGCCACAGAATTCTGCGGAATATTCGAAGGTTAATTCATATTTAAATCAATATCAATCTTATTCTTATTCAATGCTGTTTTAATAATCGCCTGACGGGTGTTCTACATCCATATGTAGCCAACATTAACATTTTTTCATTTTTCTGGCAAACTTATTATGGGATTGACGATTGATTCATAAGGAAAAACACAACGTTTTTACGTTTTGTCGTTATTTAATGATTCAGGAAGTTTCAAGGTGGTGTGAATATTTTTTTTGCATTCTTTTTGAAGATTTAAGAAGAATCACAAAACTGTAGAGAAAATACATGGAAATGATTGCACCACTACAAAATTTGGCGAGCCATTCATAATGATAAAACGCAAAAACGTCATATTTTTTTATATCACTAGCGTATATGGCGCGCTATGCGCGCCAAATCGTCCACGTATGGGGTGTTATTATTGGAATATATATATATTTATATATTTCCAATGTAATATATACATATATAGAATTTCAAAAAGAAGATAGAAAAAAGTCTAAAAATTTATATAAAAAAAATAATTTAAAATTTAATAAATTATATTAAATTTATATATTATATTATATAAATTTAGTACAATATAATATAAAAATTAAAATATCAAATATTATTATATAAAAAAAAATTAATATAATTTATATATATATATTATTTATATATGTATATATTATATATATATATCATATTATATAGATATATTTTGATATGCATAGCGCCAAAAAAAGCTGACAAAAAACGTTACATGCTTTTTTTTAAAAGGGAAAGGGAATTCCATTGAGAATTTGGATGTGGAATCCTTAAGACTCACATGTACTATCTATCGAAGGTAAATTTTAGTTCGTAGTTTATGTCATTAACCTTCAATATTTAGAAGTTTGGATTTCAAATTGGGATGCGGGAACCACTCAAATAATTACTGATAAATAATCATTGAAGAGAGCACAAATTGATGAAGTGTGGCAGATCGAGACATTGGCTTACAACACAATAATTAAAAATACGCAGTTCACTATCGGTAACATTTGACAGGTCATTTCAATTTTATATTGTTATCGATTAACAAATTTATTGTTTTTCCCCATCAGGATACCTGCCACCCGTCAGTTTGTCCTTTTTTAATATTATTTTTTTCATAGTTATTGCAAAGGTTTCTGCAGTACAATTTAAAGCCCAAATTTATAAATATTTGGGGCTACCAAAATAAAATTCAAATAAAGATTACGTTGAATAGATAGTACATGTAAAGCTTGAGTAGGAATAAATGAAGGCATACCAATGAAATTTTAATTTTAATTAATTTAATTATAACCTACGCCTCGACAACAATTGTTGTCCTTTTCAGGGTCTTTCGTTGTTATTTCTCAATTTATTATTATGATCTTAAGGCGATTATTAACATAATAGTGAAGATAAATTAATTTCATCCCCTTACCTTGTGAATAATCAATATCGGCCGAATGATCCTCAGGTTATGCATATTTGTGGCTCGAGGATAGAGAAATCGTGATGCAGCAATTTTTAGAGTACAGTCGCCAGCTGACAATTGATGAGATGGAGATGATAGCACTTTTAGATCCAAAAGCGCCGTCAAAGTGCATTCCACGTATGGAGCAGTTCCGTGAACAAATCGACCTTTACGAGGGTCTCTATCTCGAAATTGAGGAGATGACGGGATTTCGCGTTTTTTGCAGCTGGTTTCGCGTCAACCTCCGACCCTTCAAGCAATCACTCCTTAATACTGTTTGCAAATGGTCGAGCATGTTCAAGAAACATCTAGTGGAGCGCGTTACAAGCAGTCTATCCGATTTAGGAAATTTCATTCGGTGAGATAACAGTCTACATAATAACATAAGCGTGAAAAATGTCTGTCTGTAGAATAACGGGGGTGTATCTACACATGAGAGGAGGGTATGGAAGCAATTTGTTATGTGTTCAAGTTGGTAATGTGCTTACAGGCTCGCGGACGAGGGTCTGCTGCAGCAGATATTACCGGGCGATTACACGGGTCTCGTCAGTGTCATGGGTTTCTTAATGCAAGTGAAGGAGCGCCAGCCAACAACAGACGAAATGTTTCAACCACTGCAGGAAACTATCGGGCTATTGAAATTTTATGATCAAGATATACCCGAAGAGGTCAACGTCTTTCTGCAGGAATTACCAGAGCAATGGGCCAATACAAAGAAATTAGCTGTGATGGTTAAGCAACAAGTTGCACCTCTCCAAGCGGGTCAGTAATTCATGTAATCTAATGAAAACTAATTTTTATTACCTAAAATAGTAATTGGTGTCGCAAGGCTCATCAGTGGAGGTTTGTGATCAGTATCAAGCCTGTGGCAAGCTTTGTTATAGATAACTTTCAAGCCGACGGTAGTGGCCGTGCGGTTAGAGTGCTGGACTAGCATGCCAAGGATCCGGGTTCGATCCCGGGCCGGCGGTCAAAAATATATAGCGCTCTGATCTCACGGTTTCACTGCCGAGCGGTAGTCCTGTCAAAAGGACGACTGTACCAGGGCAAGTTTTTCCCTCAGATGAGGTTTTCCCTCCCTTCCAGCAAATGCGGTACAGGGGGTTGGGGGGTGGGAAGGAAACAAATCGTAAAAACCCGAAAGGGTATACGAGTGAAAGAAAAAAAAAAATACAACTTTCAAATTGAGCTTATTATGCAGTGTGGCACATATATGTTTTTTTTTGGGTACAAATGCCCCATACACACCCACACGCACACACACAAACACACACAACACGCGTACAAGCAATCAACAAAATGTTGGAAAATTGACTCTAAGCATACAATTTTAAATATATATTTTCGTCAATACATTCCATTAGACGAAGAGCATGAAACGAACTATTAACTATTGTCAACTCATGTCCGCTTCAACTATGAAGTTTTTTTAATTGAGTTCTAAATTAGTCCATGTAGCCTATCATCTATATCTTACTTTAAGTAGGATCATTTCAGGCTGTGGCCTGTAATATCCATCTACCGATCGAAGAAAGCACCCTGAAAACGACACTTAATGGGCATGAATGACTAAAAAAAAATTACTATGCACTGCAGGTGAAGTATCAAGAATTCGTGCTAGAATATCAGCATTCGATACGACAATCGGTCTATACCGAGAGGCATTTCGTCGCTACGGCTGCTTCAAATTCGATTGCAAAAACGTTTACAGCGTACTGGACGAGGCAGACAAAGAGATATGTATGCTAGAGCGACAAATGAGTGACATACAGGAATCAGCATCACTATTTGAGGTGACAGTGCCAGAATTTAAACAGCTTAAACAATGTAGACGCGAGCTTCGGATGCTGAAACAACTGTGGGACTACGTGTACATTGTACGAAGTAGTATTGAGGGATGGAAAACAACACCATGGAGGAAGATTGACGTTGAGAATATGGATATTGAGTGTAAAAAATTTGCCAAAGAGATACGAGGTAATTTTAGTCATTTGTCTTTCATTAATAATTCAACGTACACCATGTGAAAGTACTTAATGCTAATGTGAATTATAGCACTTGACAAGGAAATGCGACCTTGGGAAACTTATGTATCACTGGAGGCGACTATTAAAAACATGCTGACGTCGTTGCGAGCAGTGGGGGAACTACAGAATCCAGCTATACGAGAAAGACATTGGCGACAGCTGATGAACAGTACAAAGGTATCAAAACGATGCACGAGACCGGTGGAGACCCTTATTTAAGCTTAATTATTTCAAGAATCAATTACCCTTGAAACCCTAAATGTGCCTTAAATGTGCCTATCATACGAGGCTGATTATTTTACTGATTATCTAGGGCTTCCAACATGATACTTATAATTGTTTTATCTATTAACTGTCAATTCTAATTACCTTATTTATATTAATTATGTTAAGTTATTTAAATCGATGACTACAGTATACGGACACGTATCGTAGTCCCTAGTTGCACTGCTGTAAATATGCTATCGGTGTTACAGAGACTGGGCGATATGACACCTGAAGAAACAGTAAGTTCACTGTAAATAACCGCACGATCTATTTTATTTCAATGCAGTCCTCATCATATCAATCATAATTCATGATACGATAAGTGATAGATTATTCCTCATTTTTTATAATAACAGTACGGAGATATCATTCGAAAAAAATGCTCAACAACTCGATGAATCAATTAATTCATTCAATTCGTTTCACATCGCTGCAGACAATGTGCACAAATCGATCAATTAATGCAAGCATGATGAATGATTAATTCAATAAATCATTGTAATATATCATTCATGATTTGTACACACTCATTTCATCCGCAATAAAGCAATTCAACACAACAGTTATGCTTGTTCTATCATTTCACCTCGCCCCATTCTCATTCTCTCACAGCATCCCGATGCACTTCACTATTGTACCGCAGGGCACCAACGCTGGATGGATGGCAAAATAAAAGAGAAAAAAGTTTAAAAATACCTTGCCAAGTGTAAGTGAATATTTTACATCAGGTTCGCTTTGTGATGGATGATACAACCACACTGGCCGATTTACTCGAGCTTAATTTGCACGAGTGTGAGGATGAAGTGAAGAACATTGTGGATAAAGCTGTTAAAGAAATGTCAATGGAGAAGTATCTTAGGGAATTAAATTCGACCTGGTCGGCAATGGAATTTGAACTTGAGCTGCATCAACGCACTGGTGCCACTCTATTAAGAGCGAGCGAGGAATTAATCGAAACATTAGAGGAAAATCAGGTTACTACTAATCATTTGATGTATTAATTGGAGAATTTAGGGGGGAGGGGAATCGATGATACAACATGTATGATTTTTAGGTCCAACTGCAAAATTTAATCACCTCTAAGTTCATCGCTCACTTTTTGGGAGAGGTATCGGCGTGGCAGAAGAAACTGAGTATTGCTGATCAGGTTACAACAGTGTGGTTTGAAGTACAGAGAACTTGGTTGCATCTTGAGAGTATCTTCATGTCTTCGGAAGACATACGAAAGCAGTTGCCAGTGGATGCCGATCGTTTCGACATGATTGACGAGAAATTCAAACAAATGACACAGGAAATGGCAAAAACACCAAATGTCGTAGAAGCCACCAATAGGGATGGCTTAGCTGCATCACTAGATACATTGCAAAAGGAATTAGTCCTTTGTGAGAAGGCACTAGCTGAATACCTGGAAACCAAGCGTTTAGCTTTCCCCCGTTTTTACTTTGTATCTTCTAGCGATTTATTAGATATTCTGTCCAACGGAAATCAGCCAGATATTGTCGCTCGTCATCTCACCAAACTTTTCGATTCAATGGCGAAATTGAAATTCATCGAAACGCCGGACAAAAAAATTGGAGTTGGTAATAATCCTAGATGAGGGAGAGAGCCAAAGTGCCGAGAGAACAGATTTTTTGCTTATAATCAGTTAATTTTTATTTGCTAAATAATTTTAGTAGATGAAAGACTAAATTTCAGTAGAGAGTTAAGCAAGAAAGATTGTTTACACAGTGTATTTACAGAGGGAATGCACGCTAAAGACGGTGAATACGTGGTTTTTGCAAACTACGAAATGGTGTGCGAGGGGCCGGTAGAAGTGTGGCTAAATCGTCTGCAGGAGGCGATGCGCGTTACATGTCGTTTCTACATGAACGAAGCTGTTGTTATCTACGAGGAAAAACCGAGGGAACAGTGGCTCTTCGATTATCCAGCTCAAGTATCACTCTGTGGTACACAAATTTGGTGGACCACGGAGGTTAACATGGCTTTTGCTAGACTCGAGGAGGGCTACGATAATTCCTTAAAAGATTATCTCAAGAAACAAATAAATCAACTGAGCACATTGATATCGCTGCTCCTTGGCGAGCTCACCAAACAGGATAGACAGAAAATAATGACAATATGTACCATAGACGTGCACTCGAGAGATGTTGTTGGAAAATTTGTCCAGGCAAAAGTTGAGAGTGCCCAAGCATTCCAATGGCAGAGCCAACTGCGAACACGATGGGATGAAAAGGAAAAAGATTGCTTTGCTAATATTTGCGATGCTCAGTTCAGATATTCTCATGAGTATCTGGGGAATACCCCGAGGTAATAAAACATAAGTGATGAAACCTCAGAATATTTCAAATGAGATATCCCAAAAAATCACCACGTTTCGTCCATAAAAAAAAAAAAACATTTTCTCACTCTTATTATATTTCTGTGCAGACTTGTGATTACACCTCTAACGGACAGATGTTACATAACTCTGACCCAGTCCCTTCATCTAGTAATGGGTGGAGGGCCAGCAGGACCGGCAGGTACAGGAAAAACTGAAACGACGAAAGATCTTGGAAGAGCATTGGGAATAATGGTATACGTATTCAACTGTTCTGAGCAAATGGACTACAAGTCCTGCGGCAATATCTACAAGGGCCTCGCCCAGACGGGTGCCTGGGGGTGTTTCGATGAGTTCAACAGAATTTCAGTGGAGGTATTGTCTGTCGTTGCAGTTCAAGTGAAATCGGTTCAAGACGCTATTAGAGACAAAAAGCAGAAATTCAATTTCATGGGAGAGATAATTGCCCTCACCCCAAGTGTCGGAATATTCATTACCATGAATCCGGGATACGCAGGTCGTACAGAACTCCCGGAGAATTTAAAAGCATTATTCAGGCCATGTGCTATGGTGGTGCCTGATTTTGAATTAATATGTGAAATAATGTTGGTGGCTGAGGGCTTTCAAGACGCCAAAGTTCTAGCTCGAAAATTCATCACTCTTTACACACTCTGTAAGGAGCTTTTATCGAAACAGGATCACTACGACTGGGGTCTCAGGGCGATAAAATCAGTTCTTGTAGTTGCGGGGAGTCTAAAAAGGGGTGAACCCGGTAGACCTGAGGAGGAAGTACTGATGAGAGCACTAAGAGACTTCAATATTCCAAAAGTTGTGTCGGATGACCTTCCAGTATTCATGGGACTTATTGCTGATTTGTTTCCGGCATTGGATGTACCCAGAAAGCGAGACATAGAGTTTGAGAAGACTGTTAAACAAGCGGCTGCTGATTTACTTCTACAACCCGAAGATGGTTTCATTCTCAAAGTCGTACAGCTAGAGGAATTGCTTGAAGTTAGACACTCAGTGTTCATAGTAGGAATTGCGGGTTCTGGAAAGACTCAAGTGTGGCGAACACTCTTCCGAACTTACCAGAACATCAAGCGCAAGCCTATTTACACTGATTTGAATCCAAAGGCTGTCACAAATGATGATCTCTTTGGTATTATAAATCCTGCCACGAGAGAGTGGAAAGATGGATTGTTCTCGGTTATAATGAGGGACCAGGCTAATCTGGGTGGAGACAATCCAAAGTGGATAATACTTGATGGTGACATAGACCCCATGTGGATCGAGTCTCTCAATACAGTAATGGATGACAATAAAATTCTCACTCTAGCTAGCAATGAACGCATTGCCCTGACTCCTGCTATGAGACTTCTCTTCGAGATCTCAAATTTGAGAACAGCGACACCTGCTACTGTCTCGCGAGCTGGAATTCTCTACATCAATCCCCAGGATCTTGGTTGGAATCCCTATGTCACCAGTTGGATCGAAACCAGAACAATACCCGCGGAGAAATCAAACCTGGTGATGCTATTCGATAAATACATTCCGATTTGTCTCGACACAATGCGCACACGGTTCAAGAAAATAACACCCATTGCCGAAATGGCTCATATAGAGATGCTCTGTCATCTATTGAGTTGTCTGCTGAAACCCGAATTAACGATGAGCAATGACTTCAACAAAGATCACTATGAACTCTACTTTGTTTTTGCTGCAGTCTGGGCATTCGGCTCCGCGATGTTTCAGGATCAAACGGTTGATTACAGAGTGGAATTCACCAAATGGTGGGTCAATGAGTTCAAGCAGATAAAGTTTCCAACCCAGGGAACTGTTTTTGATTATTACATCGATCCAGAAACCAAAGATTTTACACCATGGTCAGAGCGTGTTCCCCAATTCTTTCTTGATCCGGACATGCCTCTGCAGGCAGCCCTTGTCTACACGTCAGAATCAATCAGAATAAAGTATTTTCTAGACCTCTTGATGGAGGAGAAGCATCCAGTGATGTTGGTCGGTGGAGCTGGATGTGGAAAGACTGTTTTGGTTTCGGAAAAACTTCTCCAGTTGTCTGAAAACTACGCGGTGGCAAATGTTCCTTTCAATTTTTATACTTCTTCGGAAATGCTCCAGAAGATTCTGGAGAAGCCGTTGGAGAAAAAGGCAGGAAGGAACTATGGCCCTCCAGGAAATAAAACACTGATCTACTTCGTTGACGATCTCAATATGCCCGAGGTTGATGCCTACGGTACCGTCCAACCTCACACACTCATCAGACAACATCTAGATTATGGTCACTGGTACGACAGAACCAAATTGACACTTAAAGATATTCATAATTGTCAGTACGTGAGCTGCATGAATCCAACAGCTGGATCATTCACAATAAATCCTAGGCTGCAGAGGCATTTCGCTGTTTTCGCCGTCAGTTTTCCCAATCACGAATGTTTAATGATCATATACTCATCAATTTTTTCCCAGCATCTGGCGAATTTAGAACACAGGTAATTTCATTCTTCAAATAATCCTTGCTGTTCATGATCTTTGAATTTGGATTGAATTTCAGATTTCCCCTCTGCGTTACTGAAATGTGCAATTCGATAGTACAAGCTACTCTCCAGCTTCACAATCGTTGCGCCCAAGTGTTCCTCCCTACGGCCACCAAATTCCATTACATTTTCAATCTACGCGATTTATCAAATTGCTTTCAAGGTTTACTCTTCAGTGGAAATGAGTGCCTGCAGTGTCCGACAGATCTCATTCGACTATGGATGCATGAAACATATCGTGTTTATGGGGATAAACTAACGGATGAGAAGGACATTGATAATTTCTTAAAAATGCAAATTGATGTTGTAAAAAAAAATACGGAGGAGATCGATGAAGGGGCTGTGCTCGAGAGACCGAATATCTATTGTCATTTTGCTGGTATTTTTTAAATTCTTCGGATGATGTAGACCATTAGATACAATACTGATTATTCCAGGTGGAGTGGGTGAGCCAAAGTACATGCCAATAAAAAATTGGGCAACTCTGCACCGTCTATTATCGGAAGCCCTTGTCAGCTACAACGACTTAGTTTCAGCCATGAATCTAGTTCTCTTCGAAGATGCAATGATGCATGTGTGCCGTATTAACAGGATTTTGGAATCCCCGAGGGGGAGTGCCTTATTAGTGGGTGTTGGTGGCTCCGGGAAACAAAGCCTCTCTCGTTTATCCGCTTTCATAAGCTCTCTTGAAGTATTCCAGATTCAATTGAGGAAAGGCTACGGTGTTCTCGATCTGAAAATAGAACTTGCAGGCCTTTACCTCAAATCAGGAATGAAAAATATTGGCATCATGTTCCTCATGACAGACGCGCAAGTACCGAACGAACAGTTTCTCGTTTTAATCAATGATATGTTAGCGTCCGGCGAGGTACCAGATTTATTTCCCGAAGATGAAGTTGAAAATATAATCGCTGGTAACTCAAAGTTGTCTCGTATCTCTGATTGTACCGCGCAAAAAAAAATGTTTTAATATTAAACTTTCCACTTAGGTGTGCGAAATGAAGTCAAAGGAGCTGGTATATTGGATACTCGAGAGAATTGTTGGAAATTTTTTATCGACCGTGTAAGACGACAGCTCAGGTACATAAAAAGGAATAATCCAGAATAAAGAATTCAAGGGTATTATCCCCCGAAGAGCCGAAACAGAAAAAAAGAACAAATTCTCAATCTCCAATTTCCAGGGTCGTCTTGTGTTTTTCCCCGGTGGGTTCAACCCTCCGCGTAAGATCCCGAAAATTCCCAGCTATAATAAATTGTACGGCGATCAATTGGTTTCACGAGTGGCCCCAGGAAGCTCTAATGTCAGTGTCAAAGCGCTTTCTAGAGGAACTAGTGGAGTTACCGGAAGGATTCAGGTTTGAGAAATGAGAGTTTTAGTCATGCAATTAGAGTGTCTGGGTAATCGACAAGCCGTCAAATAATATTTTAGAGAGTCAGCGGCAAAGTTCATGGCACATGCTCACACAACCGTTAATGCAGCCAGCCGTGCCTATTTGGCGGGAGAGAGACGTTACAATTATACAACACCAAAGTCATTCCTGGAACAAATTAGTTTGTACACAAAACTTCTAAAAGCTAAAACGAGCGAATTAAGGGGTCGCATAGAGCGGCTTGAAAATGGTCTGTCAAAGTTGAAATCAACAGCAGCACAAGTGGATCAATTAAAGGAGAAATTGGCGGTACAGGAGATTGAGTTGAAGGAGAAAAATGAGGCTGCAGATGCGCTTATTGAAATAGTAGGAGTTGAAACGGCGAAAGTACAGAGAGAAAAGGCCCTTGGTGAGTAATATAAATATCAATAGAATAAAATTTAAGAGGATTACTAACATATTCGATTTATCCCTAAAATGTAAAATCGCTGAAATTGAAATTGCACAGCCGATGAGGAGGAATCGAAAGTGGCTGTTATAGCTGAAGAGGTATTAAAGAAACAAAGAGATTGCGAAGCAGATTTACTGAAGGCCGAGCCAGCTCTGCTCGCTGCGCAAGAGGCTTTGAACACACTTAATAAAGCAAATCTTACAGAATTAAAGTCATTTGGTTCACCTCCTGGCGCTGTGACCAACGTCACTGCCGCCGTAATGGTACTCCTAGCGCCCGATGGCAAAGTGCCAAAGGATAGAAGCTGGAAAGCCGCCAAGGTACATTTGTTTTAATGCCATGTCGTTCATTTTATAACTAATTAAAATGTCCTACCAAACTTTCTAATAGCACCCACTAAATATTTTCAGATTGTCATGGCTAAAGTTGATGCTTTCCTCGATGCTCTCATCAATTACGATAAAGAAAATATACACCCTGAAGTGATCAAAGCAATACAGCCTTATCTCAAGGATTCAGAGTTTGAACCTGAATTTGTAAGATCGAAATCAGCCGCAGCTGCGGGTCTGTGCGCATGGGTTATAAACATCATTAAATTTTACGAAGTATTCTGTGATGTTGAGCCGAAAAGAAAAGCACTGGCCCAAGCCAACGCTGAATTAGCAGCTGCCCAAGACAAACTCAGTATTATCAAGAGAAAAGTTGCGGTAAGATGTCAAAATTCAAATGAATGAAATGAGAAGGGGCCACTAATTATTATACGTGAAATACTTTATACGTGTTCAGTCATTGGAGGAGCAATTAGCCAAACTAACAGCGGACTTCGAGCAAGCAACAGCGGAGAAGCTCAAGTGCCAGCAGGAAGCAGACGCTACTAACGCAATTATCGCCCTTGCCAATCGATTAGTCGGGGGTCTCGCTTCAGAGAACGTGCGCTGGGCAGATTCAGTCGCTAAGTACGCCAAATTATCCCGTTACTACAATATCATGACGTGGAGATGTTTAATTGAGTGCTTAAATTATTAGTCTGATGCATCAGGGCTCGACTCTACCGGGCGATGTACTGCTAATTACCGCATTCATCTCCTACGTTGGTTGTTTCACAAAAACATTCAGACAAGATCTGTTGAACAAGCAGTGGCTGCCAGTAGTAAAAACACTGGATCCAGTAATTCCCATAACAGATGGCCTAGATGTTCTTACCCTTTTAACAAATGACACACAAATTGCCAAGTGGAATAATGAGGGATTACCGAATGATAGAATGTCAACGGAAAATGCTACGATTCTATCCAACTCGGATCGTTGGCCTCTCATGATCGATCCCCAGGTACGTCTTCCATTGAATTTCAAATAATCATGTGAGATATGTGAATAATTCATTTATCCATCAGCTCCAGGGGATCAAATGGATTAAACAAAAATACGGCGATGAGCTGAGAGTAATTAGATTAGGGCAGCGCGGTTACTTGGATGTTATCGAACAGTCTCTGGCAATGGGTGCCACAGTTCTCATCGAGAACATTGGTGAAGCTGTTGATCCTGTATTAGATCCCCTCCTTGGTCGTAATCTCATAAAAAAAGGAAGGGCAATAAAAATTGGTGATAAAGAAGTTGAATATAATCCCACATTTAGACTCCTATTGCACACAAAATTGGCTAATCCCCACTACAAGCCGGAGATGCAGGCGCAAACGACGTTAATTAATTTTACGGTTACGAGGGACGGACTGGAGGACCAGTTGTTGGCTGAAGTTGTTAAGGCCGAGAGGCCAGATCTTGAGGATCTCAAAGCGGACCTCACGAGACAGCAGAATGAGTTCAAGATTACGTTGAGTGGGCTGGAGGACTCATTGCTCTCTCGGTAAACTATTTTATTTTCCTAACAACAACCACTCACAAACCACTTGTCTAATGAATTCTGGTTTAAAGATTATCGTCAGCCGACGAAAATGTACTCGGTGATACAGCACTGGTCGAAAATTTGGAGACAACTAAGAGAACGGCTGCTGAGATCGAGCGTAAAGTAACTGAGGCACGTGGAACGAGTAAAGAAATTGATGCAGCACGTGAGCTGTATCGTCCAGCAGCAGCACGGGCCTCACTACTGTACTTCATCCTCAATGATCTGAACACCATTAACCCAATATATCAATTTTCTCTGAAGGCATTCAGTGTAGTATTCCAGAAAGCTATTCTCAAAGCTGATCCAGCACCGGACGTGACGAGCAGAGTGATAAACCTCATCGAATGTATCACGTACTCAGTTTTCATGTATACAACGAGAGGATTGTTCGAGTGTGACAAATTGATATTCACATCGCAAATGACATTCCAAATACTCTTGGTCAGAAGAGAAATATCTACGGCTGAATTGGATCTTCTGCTAAGATTCCCAATTATGCCCCACGTTACATCACCGGTTGATTTTTTAACCAATACGAGCTGGGGTGGAATTAGGAGTCTTTCGTCCAGAGATGAGTTTAGGTCAGTACTGATGATTAAATCATTTTTTTTTTAATCCTTACTAATAACAATTATTTACACTGCAGAAATTTAGACCGAGATATTGAAATTTCTGCCAAGCGGTGGAAGAAGTTTGTAGAATGTGAATGTCCTGAGCGAGAAAAATTTCCACAAGAGTGGAAGAACAAGACCGCACTCCAAAGATTATGCATGTTGAGAGCTTTGAGGCCCGATAGAATGACATACGCCATATCTGTATTTATCGAGGAGAAACTTGGTGTGAGGTATGTTGAAGGAAAGACAGTAGAATTCTCAAAATCTTACGAAGAGACCAGTCCATCCACTCCGATATTCTTTATTCTATCCCCTGGAGTGAATCCCCTCAAGGTAAGATCACCCATTCCTTCAATATCATTCCGAGAAAAATATAATTATGTAATCGAAATGAATGTGTCAGGATGTTGAAGATTTAGGAAGACGTTTAGGCTTTTCATCAGACGCTCAAAACTTCCACAATGTCTCACTTGGTCAAGGTCAAGAGACAGTGGCAGAGCAGGCGATGGACATAGCCTCTAAGTCAGGTCACTGGGTGATTCTGCAAAATATTCACCTCGTGAAAAAGTGGCTGCCACTACTAGAGAAAAAACTTGAAGTGGCAGCCGAGGGATCAGCTGATAATTACCGGGTGTTCATGAGTGCCGAGCCAGCCAGTACTCCAGCTGGACACATTATCCCTCAAGGAGTTCTGGAGTCCTCAATCAAGATCACTAATGAGCCACCCACTGGGATGCAGGCGAATCTCCACAAGGCACTTGACAATTTCACTCAGGAGACACTGGAGATGTGCAGCAAAGAGGCGGAGTTCAAGGCAATTCTATTCTCCCTCTGTTACTTTCACGCTGTCGTGGCTGAGAGACGAAAATTTGGCCCTCAAGGATGGAACAAAATCTATCCCTTTAACGTTGGTGATCTCAATATAAGTGTCAGTGTTCTTTACAATTATCTGGAGGCAAGCGCCAGAGTACCTTGGGAAGATTTGCGATATCTCTTCGGTGAGATAATGTACGGCGGCCACATCACTGACGACTGGGACAGAAGACTCTGCGTATCGTATTTAGAAGAGCTTATGCAGCCCGAATTAGTAGACGGAGAACTCCAATTGGCGCCCGGTATTTAAAATCCATAAAAATGTCTTTTGATCTCTCTATCTCTAATTCCTTCCTGAATGATTGAATATTTTTTCCACTTCTCCATTGGCCCCACCTTCTCAGTCAACAACATAAATGTAAATATCTCCAACTTCAAAGAGTTCTGAACGTTAAATTTACGTTTAAGGATTTCCCGCGCCACCGAGTACAGACCTTATTGGTTACCATGCCTACATCGACGAAGCCCTTCCACCAGAGTCACCCTACCTCTACGGTCTACATCCGAACGCTGAAATTGGTTTTCTCACAACAACATCAGAAAATTTATTCAGAACTGTTTTTGAAATGCAGCCACGTGATGCCGGTGACTCAGGCGGCCAGACAACAACCCGAGAAGACAAGGTAAAATAATGAATTAATTAAATTATTCATTCTCATGATAACAGTGACAGTGATGGACAATTCATTTGAACCAGGTTAAGCAAATAGTGGATGAGATAATGGAAAAGCTACCCGAGGAGTTTAATATGGTTGACATAATGGCTAAAGTTGAAGAACGTACACCCTACGTAATTGTGGCATTTCAGGAGTGCGAAAGAATGAACGGTCTGACTGGTGAGATAAAGAGGTCACTCCGTGAGCTTGATCTAGGCTTGAAAGGCGAATTAACCATTACATCGGACATGGAGGATCTTGAAAATGCCCTATTTCTGGATCAAGTGCCACCAGTTTGGGCACAAAGGGCATATCCATCGTTATTGGGGCTCACTGCATGGTTTGTGGACCTTTTGCTTCGATTGAGAGAATTGGAAACATGGTCCACAGACTTTGCAGTGAGTAATCCAACGGTTTTCCGTGTTTTTGTTTTCTCAATAATCACTCGAATAGTAATGTAAAATCTTACCTTTTGCTTTATAGCTGCCGTCATCTGTGTGGCTAGCAGGTTTCTTCAATCCTCAATCCCTCCTGACAGCCATAATGCAGTCGACAGCGAGAAGATATGAACTTCCTCTCGACAAAATGTGCCTGCAGTGTGATGTAACTAAAAAGAACAAAGAAGAGTTTACGTAAGTAATGCGCGCTAAGTTATAAGACATTGTTCATTGATTCAGCGGTTGAAGTTCGGTGTAAATATTAATATTCCTTGTAGTACTGCGCCAAGGGATGGAGCTTACGTTCACGGAATATTCATGGAAGGCGCACGGTGGGATGTACAAGCCGGATTATTAATGGATTCAAGACCCAAAGAACTCTTTCCAATGTTACCAGTGATCAACGTACGTGCAATAACCCAGGATAAACAGGATTTAAGGAACATGTACGAGTGCCCAATGTACAAAACACGAACGCGTGGACCAACTTATGTTTGGACATTTAATTTGAAGACAAAAGATAAACCAGCAAAGTGGACTTTAGCTGGTGTCGCACTTCTACTGCAGATTTAATTCAATTAGATTCACTATTCTCTCAACTTTTTCTCTCCCCCGCTCCCTTTGAAATCTACTGAAATGTTGACGTTATGAAATTGCTTCGTTAGACATGAATTCATTATCCCAGAGTCTGATGTACCTTAATTATGAAGAAACGTTGTTTTGGAAGGAAAAAAGGGAAATTGTTCTTACGTAAATTTCAACGGACCGAATGAACAAAGGCACTTTTTTTAATGCCACTCGACCAAAAGAAAAGCTTTAACCTAAATCAACTTGGGGGACGCCGGAGAAGAAGAAAATGTACAAGAGTACCATTCGTGAGTCGATGAAATAATGAAGGGTGGAGAGTAATCGATATTTAGAAATAATAAAGTAAATCCAGGAATTTTAATAATTTAATTATTGATAGAGAATTTGTTTTATTGACTTGAGAGATTTGTATTTGAAATTGACAAAATTGAGAGAGTTGTTAATAAAATTCAATGAATAGAGAAATACATGTAAAATTTAACGAAACAAGTGGAGAATTATTTTTTCATTGCATGTAACATAGTCATTCTTCATAAATCATAAATTAGCGATATACTTTCGAATGCTTATCTGACAAATTTTCTCAATACAAACAGCTATGAAAATTATCCCTCGATTTCAACAACATTGCAACGAATGGTCGTTGGTTATTGTTGTTATTTCCATCTTCAAACTCATTCAACGAGACGGTAAATAATATATTTCCCGGCTGTTGGAATGGAGTTTTTTACTCGTGTGGAGTTGGCATTTGAGCCACAGGCGAGTACTGGCCAACCACCTAGTGTAAAAACTCCATTCCAAAAGCTCGGATAGTATTTTTCCGTAGTGATTTCCAAATTTTTGAGTTTGGGAAGTACGCAGTACCAATTCCCAGACGATAAATTGTGAGAAGCACTACGGAAAACAGATTTGATAAGCCATAATTGAAGTATTTAATGAATTTCTTTGTTCCACTATCATAAAAAAAATCAATGTTCAAACTATGAAAAAAAATACAAAACTAATAAATTAATTAAATTCTAATCAATATCGCTGACTAACGGTCAATAATACTTACGGATAAAAAAAAGGATTATATTTCGCGGATAAACCAACGTTCAATCGGAGATAAAGTTTGAAGATTTTGTTATACATAGACATACACATGCGCATATACGGACGGACACGGTTTTAAAATGACATTTTTGGACTTCTTGAATCAAATTGGGTTAATATAGCGTGAGAAATAAGAAAGTTAAATTTGATGGATTACAATCCTGGGATTGGGAAACGAAAAAAGCGAAGCCTTTGGATGTACTTAAGTAATTATCAGCCCTCCGTGTCCATCAAGAGAATGTTTGTGATGTTAGCGTGATACGGGTTCAACATTCGATCCAATACTCCTGGGCCAACCCCGACGTATCCCCACAGGAGGAAAATTTTCTCAAAAGGCTTTTATCGGACGACTCGGTGATTAGCCTCGAAACGGTCTTTGCTCCGGGCTTCCTTTGTCCCGCGCGACGAACCGAGTGGATCGATCTGAGGCCTCTCCTCCCCAAAAAAACCCCAATCACAGTTTTCATTAGCCCCGAAAACCAGCAATGAACCAAGACTCGTTGGATGTCTCGTTTATCCGTCGTTTTGTTATCCGAGGAAAGAGAACTCTGAGAATATTATCCGAAGAGGGGTGAACGAAAATTAAGGAGCCGAGTATTGAACCTAAATATTAAAAAAGAAATGAGATGAATGATGAGTGTCTCGAGATGCGGACAAAGACGAATAACGAAATTCGATGCATTATAAATTTGCATCATCGATATCACGGCTCGGTCGACAGCCTCTCGAAATATTAATAGAATGTCGTTAGCCATGACAAATGGGTTGTCAGCGCGACGTGTCACCGATTACAAGAGCACCGTAACCACTCGACTGGGAGGCAGCAGTTGGTGCCGATGGTACATCTCGCGAGTATTGAATAAATACAGCCATAAATTAACCTTCAGTCACCACCGAACCCCCGACGATTTGTAATAAGAAATAATAAATTCGTTGACAATCAATTGACGTCGGATATTCTGGAATTTTCGTCGATAGCTCAGGTGAAAAAGAAAGGATCGCAACAGAAATCGACATTGACTTTACTTTAAAGAATAATCGTTTGTCACGCAAATCTATCGGATTCTGTAAAATTTCGCCCGGCAACAGCTTGTTTTGTGAATTCATTCAACGAAGGGAGTAATTCGAGGGCGCAACACTTTAGCCAACAACAGCACTGAGGAGACACAGAGTTGCTAATGGCTCCTTTGTCTCGGCGGAGGCATAAGCCATTTTTCATCTCTGCCAAGGGCCTCAGAGTCGTTAGTTAATCATTTTTAAAAGAGCCACAAAAACCCAGGTATACACAGGCTGTCATTCTCTCGCTGTATTCCCCTCGCTATGTAAAGGCACAACTGCAAGTGTTATCGTGTGAAGCTCAAAACTAATATAACATGTCGCACCGGTGAAAATTAAATTTTTCCATCGCCCTGACTCTTTCTCACAAAACCACCAAATAATTAAACTACCAAAGGGGAGGAGAAGGATTTATACCCCATGCGCGTTAATATAAAATCCTTTTAGTTTTCTCTTTCGCGGGATTAAAAAGTGTTGAAGGAACCCGAAAATTATAACTACTGGAGAGTGTGCCGAGTATGATTTTAAAAATCTCAAGCATTGAGACCCGTTTTTCCGCGATATTTAAAATCTCATGCATTTTTTAACACACTTCGTTCATTAAGAAGTGCTCTAGTCAGTCTTTAATAGAATAAATTATCATCAACCCTTGGCGAGCACTTTAATACTCCTGCCAACAGTCCCAACCCACTCTTTCCCCTGATGAGAATGCGAGACTTGAAAAAAATATTACTCAGAAATTTAATTAATGATGACAAATTCCAGCCGTTAAAATTTCCATTCCCGACAGCGGCAGTGCCTCTAGCCGCTGAAATATACCCCGAAGGTAGCATTTCATCTCTCATTCATTCGGGGATTGATCGTGGGGTAAATAGACATCTGGAATGACGGCCGAAGAAATTATTTCAGGAAAAGCCACTTTAATCTAGCATTTTATGTTAATGAATATTAACCCCCATCATGTTCTACGAATAAATGTCTTTTTTCAGATTGGCCCCGGGAAAACACTATATTTTGGATTTTGCATAGCTACGGGTCCAGAAAATCGACTTTCCAGGCGTTGCGTCTGGAAAAATTTTGTTGAAGCCACGACGTGGAAACATATCACCCGCATGCATGCCTTCAGCTCAGATATTAAATTTGCATATCGGAAAGGATAATCAGTTTTCCGAGACTAGGCCTGATGATAACCGTCTCAATTATTCCCAAGACATCTTTTTTCAAGTCCAGGATGCTGAAGAATTAATTCAAAAAACTAAAATCTTTTGGTGAATTTGAGAGAATAGCATAATGCGATGCAAGTGAAAAAATAGTACTTTTTAATGAGCGTAAGGATGACAAGCCGAAGCGAAGACCAGGGCGGCTGTATAATCACACTTATTAGATTTATTAGAACAACTTTTTTTCACGTGTCCCAGAAAATTTTATGAGATTGGTGAAGAAAGGGATTCCTTTTTAAAAAAAATTACGGTTTTTTCACATGTATCATGAAAGACATTTGAAAATTTTGTTGAATCTATTTGTCTCGCAGCTACAGTTGGAAAAATCGAGCTAGAGATCCCGTCAATTTAATAGTAAAGAGAATTCCCACAGGTGAGTATTAAAGAAGCATTACGTGAATGCGAGAGGGATTGAGAGATACCCTCCTAGCTTACAAGTTCATTTCAATTAAAGTAAAATGAAAGGCCAGTCTCAACAGGAGTCCCTTTTCCCCTTTTCTCGTTTATATTGCTGAGAATTATACTCTTTTAATTGGAGAATCTTTCTTTATGCCTGTGGAGTATGAACTTCTGAGTGTAAGATCTCAGTTACTTCCCTCTTCTCTCAATTGTACAGAGAGGGCTTGAGAAGGGGACCAAAAATGTTATCAGTGCGATAAATCTAAATTTCTTTATAAATTCGCTCCGTTTCTATTTTCTCGGAACTGTAAATTACCTCTACAATTCCCGAAATTTCGTCGTGTTGTGGTCACTCAAAAGTTATTAGATACTACATTTAAGCCACCCCAAGTCCCCTATTTTACAACAGCTGTGCGACTCACCACTGAATAATAATTAGAATTGATACCAGCAATCTGATTGATGACTCCGGTGCCTTTCCATCTGAAGAGACATTGTCAGGTTAAATTTAATTAAGCCACTGTGCAATCGCACGTGGGGAGAAAGGATTCCCCCATTGCTAACTATAAACGCCTTTGAGTCTGAGTCACTGAGCCGAATCTGTAAACCAATCACCTGGTGACTGTTATCACCAGCGCAGACCAACCAAGCACAGCCTCATTACAGGAGTCTTCATGCAGTCTATTCCCTTACCCTAGAGTCATTACTAAATAATTTAAAATTTTAATATTGACAATTTTCTTCATCGTTAAAAAAAAAATCCAGATGTAAAGAAAAGCGTCATCGTTTTTCGTTGCATAACTTATACATAGTCAATATAGTAAGTTTGTTCAATGTTCAATGAAAAAAAGGAACTAAAACTTTACATGGAAAAGAACCCCCCCCATGTGAATATTTACCAAGGAACTACCTCACCTAAGGAAAAAACCTTAGGTTAATTATAGTCGTTTCTTTTACAAGACTCCCGCTCAACGATGACCGGCGAAGTTAAAAACGCCAGGAATTGGTACCGGCGGGGATTGAACTTACGACCCTCGGCACGCCAGTCTAACACTTTAACCACTCGGCTATTGCCGTCGGTTATTAACATATAATTTTTCTGAAAGAGACAGAATTCAGTCAAAAAAAAATCATTTTTTATAAAAAAAGATTTTTATTGCAACAAAATGAAATTTTATCAGAAATGAATTCGATGTATTAGGTATGTACTTTCGTTGGGAAAGAAAACAGCACATTATTACAGTTTTGTTTATGTAAAACGTGGAATATTTCATTCAAACTTTTTCGGACATTAAAGATAAACATTTAGGAGAGATTTTGGGAAATTTACATAAAAACATTCGGAACACTCAGCAATTTTTATGTAATCTCCGGTGATTACGGGCCCTTCACAAAAAATACTCTCCTGCATTGACAGCCCAACTCATGATAGGATCGTTTGAAATTAAAATGAAATAAAAAATAAAAACCTGTGGATTTTGGTTAGTTACTTCAAACTATTTTTTGTACGAAGCAAAAACCAATAAATAATTGCATTTTTGGTAGACTATGTTAGGAAAAATTACAAATTTCTATCA